TTGTCGTATTCGCCGTGGCGTATCATTAGATGACGGTTTTTGGGAAAATGCGTAAGTCAAAGGTCGATGATCTGTAAAGATAGTAAATTCTCTTCCTTCGACTAACCTTTGAAAATGTTTGACTGCCATATATATTCCGAGCAACTCTCTGTCGAATGTCGAGTATTTTTGTTGAGTAATGCGTGGATTCGTCTCAATGTTAATAGTGCGGATTGTTTGCTGCGTCGATTTGATCAGGGTTGCGGGCGTTGTCAGCTCAGTTACCCTATCTATGAGTTTTCGACCAGCTATATCGACTAATAGCTTATAATGCTCTAAAAAATCTGCTCCAATAATCGGTTGTGTTACATCGGCGATGACAAAGTTCCATACAAAGTTTCTTCGTAGCCCGAAGTTTAAAGAGAGTGTTTTTTCACCATATGTCTTAATTTTTGTACCATTGGCGGCATAAAGTATACATTGTTCATCTTGTATTAGTGAATGTCTCTGTGGCTTGCTAATAACTGAAATATTTGCTCCCGTGTCAATCAAAAATCTCATACCACTTTTTCGGTCGGTAATAGTGAGGCGGTTGGACGGGTGAATAGCACAGAGTTCCGCCGTTGTCCGTGCTTCAATTAGTTTCCCTGTTTCCTTGAGTTGAGATCCTGTTTCCAATCACAAGGTTGAACACACTTTTGTGCATATTTTTTAAATCTTCCATGGTAAAAACAAAAGTGCCTTCTTTCTCTTGAACTCGACTGTGGTAGGAAATGCCGACGATTGGAATAACTTTGAGTGCTGCGTCGATAGTTTTTTTGACCTTGCTGAATTGCATTTAGTTCCAATTGCATTTCTGCTAACTGTGCTAGTATGCATGACATTGTATCGTCGCCAGATTTGTTTCCGTTTACAGCTGACACCTCTGTACGTGTTGAATTTATTAATATCTTGTCCGCGATCTGGCTCATCTTGTTCACATCTATGTCTTCTGTGACTGCTAGAACCGAAGTCACTGATGGTGGCAGAAGCCTCAACCATAGAAGTTTGATGGTTTCGTCGCTGATATTTCCGTTACTCAGGGTCCGCATCTTGCGCAGAAGATGTGATGGTTTCTGGTCGCCGAGATCCATTTCAGACAATAATTTTTGGAGCTGACGTTGGTCTGATTCCTCATAGCAACTGATTAGGCGTTCTTTGATAGCCTTGTACTTTTCTATTGGCGGTGGGCAAGTAATGAGGTCACTAACCTGTATTATTTCTTCTTTTGGCAGTTTTGCAATGACCGTATAGTACTTGTAATCGTCTCCTTGCTTCTGTGGTGCTACTATGGCTTCTAGTTGCTTAAACCATAATCTGGGTTGGTCCCTCCAAAATTCCGGAATACGGGATAAAATGGCGGTTCCGCTGATATCTCCAAGGCTTCTTGTTGGCTGCTGCTTGATTTGCAGGGTGAATGAGTCATGTTGATTGTTCTTCGTCGGGGTCACCAATTTGCCAGACTTCGTGGCAAGGTAAATAATGAGACTGTAGATGGTTAAGGTCTGTTTATTACTTTAATTGCTGGTGCTTATATACTAAGAAGATGCGTGAGATTTTCAGATTTAGCTATCCTAACAAACGTGCAACAATTAACATGTATGTCTTATCTCTATCGTATCTAAGTAATGTAGCGACGTGATAGTGCCGCTACACGTATCAATCCGGTTGAGCCATGGAGAGGCAAAACATATCTTCAAATTTTCCAATGGTTTCTCCATAATTCTATCACCTTATGTAGAAAATACACTAGTCATAATTAAGGATGAATCTAAGTAAATTTATTTTAGGAACAAAATCAACTAACGCCACATTATTGTCCTTAACTTACATACCAATTTCGACGATAACGAAATCTAAATTTCAATGTTTACTCTACACGCCAATCAAATGATATATTCTTCTGAAAGCAAGATAATTTATTAGCCCATACACGTTCTAAACAACCAGCCCTAACGATGTTGGATCTAATAAAATAACGCAATTCATCTCAAGACTCGGTAAAAGAAACAAGACGTATTCAATAACTATATTCATCTAGGCACTAACTTAATTTATAATTTATTCAAAAGAAATATTGTAAATGCCTTTCATAAAAGTCCAATTAAGAGGAACAATGCAGGAGCTTAAAAAGAAGCATTTTTTTTAATTCTTACCAAGAACTGCCACGTACAAAGGTTTCCGAATAAATTAATTAGGCTGGTAGGTGGTCGTTAACCCTCAAAAACCCACGTCGACACTTACGGGTGAAGATAAAATGTGAAGCGGCTATTGTGGGAGAATTAGGTGGGTTAGATAATTACTGAGTTTAAGTCAACCTAATGTTTTCGAGTTAAGGAACGTTAAGCAGTTTTTGCGAATCGTTTTACAACAGACACAATATTTCAGTTACAAGACTTTCACTGTTTTGTATGACGTGACCTCACTAAACGATGCTGCGCGAAAATCTTTCAACTATGTGCTGTTACTGCGAATACTGAATAACCATCCACACTTGGGACAACTCGAACAAAGCAAAGGTCAAAGCCAAAATTATTTATTCCAAATTAACCATAAACTTACTATTTTCACGGTACCGGTACGGTTTTGAACCGTGAATTTAGAATATAGTCTGTCAGTCAGTTCGTCAGTGAAGCTAGGGGCTTGTCACAAAGTGTTGATTCGAATGGAAAGGAAAAAACAAGAAACAACAAACATATAATAAAACCCAGTTTCATCTGGAACATGGCGTGTTTCTAATATTTATATTTATAGTTTTCTATACAAATATTCTAAGGAGGTTAAATTAGTAAGTTTATAAGTTTGTATGTAGGGGGTAATCTTTGGAACCGCTGGTCGAATTTCCAAAATTCTTACACTGATAGATAGCTACAATATTCCTGAGTGCTATAGGCTATAAAACATCACGCTACTATCAAATGGAGCTTTATCATCCAGGTAAGGAAAAGATAAAGATTTGATTACAGCATTCTTTTAAGGTGAAGGCAACGCAACATCCATATAAACACCAAGACTCATTGGTATTATTGTTTTGTGTGGGAAGCCTGCACAGAATACTGTAAAGTATTGTGTACACAGTATGGATGTAGTGGTCTACCTCCACTCCTCCAGTGTACACTGACTCCTTAATACTTCGGCTAGCCGCCTCAACTTGGAACGAGCTCGTTCACACTACTGTGACCATGCGGTATATTTTCGTAAAATCGTCAGGAGCAAAGGCGCCGAAATAACCCTTATTAATTATACTTTTGAACCCTTATTAATTATACTTTAAGTTGCTCCAAAACCTAATCAAGTAGTCCTCAAAAAATCTCGATGTTTATCATCACTGCCTCGACAGTTCTGTGTCTTCACAGTATAGTGATGACATAGTACCTATATCTTGCATACACATACTGCAGCTCCTATAGATTTATGGAGCAAAATTCATTAAATGCTGTTTTGATTTCGTTGCTTCAAAAAATTGGTGACCTACAAAATCCTGTAAAATAAAAAGTAGAACCCCTATTTTTGTTTTGTTTTTGTGGAAATCAATAATACTATAGATAAGAAAGTCATTAATGATAATGAGATCTTTTACTACTTATCTCCTTCACAAAAATCATTATAGTTTTAACCACACTAAGAAGTTCCCTACACCACTCTACTTTGTGGCGACCAACTGATAGTCTAGTATTCTGGTCACGCGCCGGCCCGAATTGAAAGGTGGCGAAGATTGAATAAAGATGGCGCCTACATCGCCCTTATCAAATCATCCAGCCAGCGTTTGAAACGAATAAAAACTGATTTCGTTATGACCCTTAATACTGTGCGTATGTATTGCGTTGGACCTCTGTGTAAGGATTAGTTTGTAGACTATAACAAAAAAGGTTTTAGAACTGGATTTTTCATTTTGTTTTTTTTTCTTTTTTTTTTTGTTGTTTGTACCGTATTCTCTCTCTCTATCTTTGGTTGAGGTTATTGGAGACTCAAACCTTTCTTCCTACCATTTAGAATTCATAAATCCCTAAACTCACGAAGTCAACTCGTTTGCGACTTCCATAGGTTTTGTCACTTTGGTTGCTCAGCTCAGATGACGACTCATAAAAAGAAAAGACGGTATTATATTTTTATATTGAGCCTTATGCACACACATTTTAGTACATAGGCGGACTTAATGCCGTTGGCATTATCTACCACTCGAACCTTAGGGCGATGCAGATATACATATAAAATTTGAAAAATGTAGACATGAATCGAAATAGACACGCCAGAAGTGTATATTTGGCGATCCCCTGTTTCCGTTTACCCTCCACGATATCCATATTTATTTGGACATTAATATAATTTCCAATACGAAATTAACTTAAAAGCAATAATTGTTTTAGTAGTTAAATGAAAACAAAAAGGTTCGAACATTTATTTCGTTCGAATTAAATAAATTATGCCAATTACAAACCATGTAGGTTGGCAACAAAATAATTACTTTTTGTTAAATATTAATTAATGTTCATAAAATACCGTATTGTCATTATGTAGACACCAATACGTGAATGAAGACTTAAAAGTTTTATGATTCAAAAGTGAATATGGTCACAATTGGAAATTGTTTGCGAAAAATAAAGAGCACCATGAAAACCTTCATACGCAAATCGATACAAAAATATTAAACAAAACCATTGGCATAAAATCACAAATCAATAAAAAGATTATATTTAAACAATGCGCTATAAATTTTTTGTTCAATTTGTTTTTTTAGTTCATTAATGCTTTCGATTTTGCAAATATGTGAACATTTGTTTTTTATAAGCACAATGCGTGAAGAGTGATAATTGCATTGTGTCCGTTGCATCTGTGCATACTGTGTAGGATTTGCATCATTAGTGTTTTATTTACACAGCATGTTGCATTCACCGTACAGTAAAAACTTAAAACTAAAGTAAATAATGTAAGGTTGTTTGTACACCAATAGAATATAAATAAAATTAAAATATGGAAGAGCCATGGGTCAGCTCGACCGGAGTGGTATCCACCTCGCAAGAAACCGGCGTGAAACTGTCACAATGTTGCGATTCGCCCCGACCTTCAAAAGGCAGGCAACGGCCAAAAAATTTACAGATTTAAGTAATCTGATTGGGGGTTTGTTTCACATATTGAGATGATGAGAAGACGAGAAGCACAAAGACTCTGTTTGTGACAAAAATGGTTTCTGACTTATCATAAATTAAGTGTCTTAAGGGATTAAAGGATTTATTTTGATGTACATGATGGATACTAAGAATGTATGTACCATAATTTATGTCTATTAGTGCATAATGGTTGAGGTTGGACTTAGAGCAATTCATAATACTTATTCAACACTATTTTTCTCCCGACAAATAAAATGCATTTATTTGCGCAAAACAGGTTTTTTAACAAATCAGCGCCATTATTGTTTGTGCATAATAAATTATTCATTCTTCGTTACACATATTGTTTTGTGCAACAAAAGACTAAGTTAACATACGCGCTATAAAAGCTGCAGTTCAGGGGCGGGTACTCAGAATCGAGTGCTCGTTGCGAGCCAAAATGATTATCATAAAAGGTCTCGTTATGTTAATTACTATTTTCACATAAACTTGTCTTCTGAATAACGAAACAAAGTTTAAAATATTTCAAATGTATTAATAGTTATTGTAATGTTTCCAGGATTACTAGTGACGGTGGTATACTTGCTGCCGTATGTCTCCAGCTGTGACAGCAACCCGCTGGTACCAAGACCTTCCCCCAGCCCTTCTGCTCACATCCGCTGTGAATGTGAGTGTATCTTCCGACCAGTCTGCGGTTCCGACGGCAAGACATACTCCAACGAGTGCTCTCTTAAATGCATCAGTAGACATAGAGTGGCTAACGGCTTCCCACCCATACGCATAGTTAGCCAAGGACAGTGCCCCCACACACCATGCAACTGTCCTGTCGGTGGCAAAGCTCTGTGTGGAAATGATGGCCACACCTATGCTAACGATTGCTTTTTAGATTGTGAAAACAGAAGACGTCATCTCATAGGTCTCGATCCCATTGAAGTCATGTATCCTGGACCTTGCAAATTGCCGTATTGTATCTGCCCTGATGTAGTTATTCCAGTTTGTGGCACTGATGGTAAGACGTACAAGAATATTTGCTACCTTCAGTGCATCAGTAGGCTTAACCAAGCGAACGGTAAACCTTGCATCGAAGTAAAACGTGAAGGTCCTTGCGAGAAAGACAGCTGCATGTGTCCGCTAAACATAGATCCAGTTTGTGCGAGCGACGGAAAAACTTACAACAACTTCTGCGAGTTTCTTTGTGAGAACAGAAGACGTTACCAGCTCGGAAAGCCGCGCCTTAGTGTCCAGCACAAGGGGCCGTGTATGGACTGCCAATGCCCGAAAATCTACCAGCCAGTATGTGGAAGCAATGGTCAAAGTTTTGCTAATATTTGCCTCTTCAATTGTGAGAACAAGAGACGTAAGCTCCAAAATCGTCCTTGTCTAACAATCGACAGTCAGGGAATTTGTCCGTGCGTTTGTACGCTGCAGTACGAGCCTGTGTGTGGTACTGATGAGAGGACGTATGGTAACAGATGTCAGCACAAATGTGAGAACAAGAGGAGGTCTGACTTGGGCTTGCCATTGATTGGCATCGCGCACCCCGGCCGCTGCGCCTGTGACTGCTCATGCTGCACGCGGCTGTTTGCGCCAGTCTGTGGCAGCGACGGCCGCAGTTACTGGAACAAGTGCTGGCTCAAGTGCAACAGAGACTGTAACAGTGACATCGGATTCCCGTTGGACGTGTTGCATTATGGACCCTGTTAGAAATGTTATTCACTTAAAAACTAATATTATTTTTATAATTACATCAAGACGTCTCTAACATCGGCTTTCAAATAAAATGACAATGAAAACTAACGTATTATTTATTATTACTTACTAGCTGACTCGGCAAACTTCGTAACGCCTCAATTCTTTCATGTATATCCAGGTATATTTCAAGACCGCAATAAGCCATTTCGGTCCAGCTTTTCTTTAGTTTTAGCGAGACTAACGAACAGTAACTAAATTTTTATATATAAGATTTTTCTTCATCGACGTCTGTCATCCTCCTCACGTTCTGTTTCATTTAGAGCTTCTCAGAAATACGGTTCGACATTTGCCCTGAGTCGACACCAGTACTTTTTACGCCATCCTTCAATTATTGTTGGAGGCTGTTCCTGAAGGACCTCGGCCTATCTAATTAACCAACAGGACACGTAATGTACACAGACAGACATTTCTGTATTTATTACTGTTATTTACGACGGTGCAGGTATAAAATTATGTTCCTACGTAGATAACGTAGCATACTTGTAAAACAAAAACAAAACATATTTTTTTATGTGATAGGTCGGCAAACGAGCAAACGGATTACCTGATGGTAAGCAATCAGCGTCGCTCATGGACACCGCAACGACGGAGGAGTTGCGAGTGCGTTGTCGACCTTTTGGGGATTTGGAGATTTTGAAGGGAACAGATTGGGGTAGGGGAAGGTTTGGGCGTCCGGTAACCTCACTCACACGGCGAAACACAACTCTTTGGTTATTTCACGACCGTATCACTCCGGTCGAGCCGACCCATTCGTGCCGAAGCATGGCTCTCCCACATGTCTCCCACATAATCTCAAGGATATAGTTAGAGATAGTTTTTTTTTTAATAATGTAAAATCAGCTTCACTGAAAAAGATTTTGAAGGACTATAAAACTAGCAGAAATAGTACATAGGTATATGAATGTTATAATTATAATAAAATATATCCTACAATAGGTACTAAATATAAGTATGGTTGAATACACGGACGTTTGTTAATCTTACGCGTAAATACGAGATAGAGTCGTAGTTTTCCAAGAATAACACTGAATACTTATTCCAGATATTAACTGGAACTAAAGACAAAGCCTTTGATAGAAGCTAGTAAAGCTACAATTACACGAATCGTGTTAAATAAGATTCGTAAGTATCTGTTGATATTAGGTATAGGTAGATACTGAAGATGTACTTAAGAAATATCTGGAAAGTGTTTTGTGTTGTTTTCTAAAGGATAACGTCAACAATTAGATGTACGTAACTATAAAAAAATACATTTAGGTACGCAAACAAGCCTTAAAACCTAAAAAATATTATGAATCCTAAAAGAACAAAACACTTAGCGTCTGCTTGACCGGAGTGAAACCACGGCCTCGCAATAACCTTCGTGAAACAACCACAACGTTGTATTTCGCTGTGCAAGTGAGATTACCGGAGGCCCAATCTTTCCCCTCCTCCAATCCCTCCCCCTAATCCTCAAAAGGTTGGCAACGCACTCGTAATTCCTCTGCTATTGGGAGTGTCCACGGGCGGCGCTGATTGCTTACCATCAGGTAATACGTCTGCCCGTTTGCCGACATTTTACATAAAATATGTTGTATCTACGTGCCATAAAATTTCACCCTTCTCATGTCTACGTGCAAAATGAAAAAGTGTAATGTTGTTTAAAATGGTAAATGATTTCTTTTAGCTTTCGTTTCGTTTTCCTGTATTATAGGATCGTTCATACACATAATGTATCTTTTTTTTTGTCAGGGTAAAATCATCCAATGACTTCTCCCGCCCAGGGTAAGGCAAGAAAGAGTGTCAGACTCTTACCGACTAAAAACCCTTCTTTCTCCTGCTCTGGGCCGAGGCTGCGGTGACTCATGCGCTTAACCCGCAACCCCGGCTAACACATATATACCTGGAGCATTAATTTATGGCTGCGCAGCTGGTAGCATAGTCATAGCATCAACCGTGCTAATAATAGTAGTTCTAAGAAGAATCATTATAGTAATTAGTCCATTAGAGCAGAAGCAGGAATAGTAATCAGCTTCACTGTACCACTCGAAACTACTCGTACTAACTAGCCTGAGGTCGAGTCAGGCAGGTCAAGATAACCCGCTCTACGATAGTTATACGAGATTCTTGTTGAACCTTCATTTATGAGTTAGTATTATATTATTCCAACTAATATTATAAATGCGAAAGTAACTCTAAGAACTGTATGTCTGTCTATCTGTCTGTCTGTTTATCTGTCTTTTCTTCACGCCTAAATTACTGAACCTATTTGTGTGAAATTTGGTACAGACATAGATTGGAACTCTAGAAAGGACATATTTTAAACTAAAAATTTGCAGGAAGTCACTGTACCACGCGAACAAAGTCGCGTGCAAAAGCTAGTATTCAATAAATAATACTCGCCATTCATGTGTGTTTTGGTAAGATTAAATGTTATGAGTTTTTAAAACACTAATCCTCTTCATATTAATTTGAAGAATGTTATAACAATAAAACCTAATCACTTTCTACGCTTATAACCACGTACTAAAAATAACACAGATCCTTATGACAGTTACTAACCATTCTAGAAATCGAATTACATAGAAACACAGGCAGTAAAGTACTAACGCACTCTATAGCGCATATCTCATAATATTTTAAAAACATTCCACTACTTTACATAATTTATGAACTAAAAGTTTCACACAAAACAATAGTCGCGACGCGACTCACTGAAAGCCATGGTAAAAATCCACGGAAAATCTCAATTCCAGTGATACAACACAGTGCACTTTTTACAGTAAGACCATTGATGTTTTTCGTAAGCGAGAGAAGACATTTGGCGATTTCAACCGACCAAATAAAAAATAAATAATAAAAATTGATTGACAATTGCCTAAAACGGAATGCTAACTTTAAATATTTGAATACAAATTCGAAAAAAGAAAGTGTAAAGTAAATCTAGTTTATAGGTAACAACACAATTGAACTTCTATGAAAACAGCTTTTCTTTGTTTTTCTTATTTGCAGAGCCCATGACTCGTGAAGCTCATCTTCTATACACTTACCTACGATAAGGCATTTGGAATTTCGGGATTTTAAAATTCTTCATATAAGTCATTTTTTTAATCTTAATGTATGTAGCACATTACTTAAACAAGACATTGAACGGTCCTCACAATAGCCCTACTTACGAATATCTAACAAACGATAAGGGGTCCAGAAATCAATGTTTTTGAAAAAATTTTATTTATTAGGATTATATCATTAGGATTTTCTCCTGTGTCGTGGGTGCGTTTACAAACATACAATTTCACATGCACATCACACCCAGACCCGGAACCACAATCTGTGGATCACACAAAGAGTTATTCCGTGCGGGAATCGAACCCGCGACACATTGCGCAGCAGCCAGTTGCCCAGCCACCGCGCCAACCGTGCGGTCAATGTTTTTTTAAAAAAAGACGCTGCAGTTTTCTTTTGACCTACTGCGTCTATGGCTTCGACTGTATTCGGCGGTGAACGGTGGCACGGTCGCGCGGGATTTGTCCCGGACGCGGACCGGACGCGAGCTCATCTGCCAAGGAACACCGGCAGAGATACTAAATATTGTACAAATACCTGTATAAAATATTACACGATCGCCTTCATTGCAAGCTGCTATTTATTGCAATACTTTTTGTATTCTTTTTAGATTATCTTTTCTTTTTAAATATTTACACAGAATGTGGTCATTATAGTTTAAAAATTACAAACACGGCTAAATAAATTTCTGTTGATGGTAGCCCACGATAATGGTAAAGAGACCTTGAACCCTAGTTCAAATTTTGCAACTAGATGGCGTTGCCGCAATTAAAAGCGAGCTATGGTTTCGTTACAACAAATAGTATAAGTGTGTAATTTCTTTTGTATTTAGGGTTTAAATTCATAGATCACTTAGATCATATTCAGTTCAAATATACGAACCAGCAGTTCAAGCATACATAAGTGGTTTAATTTCAACCATATTAGTGCTACAACAGATCAACGATTACTTCGGTAATTAACATTGGTCCATCGACCCGGATATCAGACCTGGAACAGTCTGATTTTTTGAGACACATCCCAAGTACTCGCAGTGGATTGCTGCGGCAAAGTACTGGAACTCCCGCAGAAGCCGCGACTGCTTCGTCTATTTGGAGGACTCAGCTTGCGGTGGGATTTATAGTTCAACTGGAGGCCACAGAGGGCGCCACCAGTAATTCATCTCAAGAACAATCTTCGAGTTGAAGATACAGCTTCGTTCAGCAAGGTGACGAGGCGCCACCGGCGACAGCAGCCGGGAGTTACAAGTTCAAAGTGACGCCACAGGGGGCGCCACTAGTATCAACCCAGTTCACCCGACCTACGTGTTTGTGTGTGAGTGAAGTGCAACCGTGAGTGCAGTATTCAATTTATTAAACAGTAGCAGTGAAGATACAAGCAAATATGAACTTTATTTCAAGGAAGATTTTAACTTAGACAATTTTGAAGATTATTTTAGTATGTAATCAATTTTAAACTGTATTTCAATGACCATTTCAACTTAGAGATTTAGTAATATATTAAGGCTTAGAATTTAGGACTTAGAATAGTTTTATAAAAAACGGGGGAACGGGGAATACATGCCCGATTTCTACCAGAGATAAGTTATCTCAAACACTTGTAAAAAATTTCGCATATTTTAGGACTTAGAAAAATTTCATTAACTTTGAACAATTTACACTTGTTGTTTGTTTTTTTCTAACATGGAAGGTAAAATTAATATATTAAAAGACCTTCAAACGGTAATACAAAAGGCTTTAACTAATTTTAAAAAGAGTCCAAAAGACAGACGTACCTCAGAATATATTCAGACTAAACTGAACTATTTTTCACTGCACTGGTTTGAACTGGCTTTTGAACTGGGTTTTGGTCTTCAACAAGCGGGAATTAAGACGAGGCGAAAAACTGCCAACAGCTTTGAAACTGCAAGCAGATCTTAGATATTTTAACGTTTCAATAGTGGTAATTTGAGACACAATAGTGCGACAATGTGTGCGCGAACGCTGGCGTTCGCTTGGGTTTTAATGAATTGATTTTAATTAAAGAAATCGTGTCAACATTTGTTGAGAATGAATATACGAAGCTTGGCCCAATTAAACTAAAATTATCACCATACCAACTTAACCAAACACACTGTAAGTAAACAATATGAATAACAAAAAACTGTAACAAAAGTAGATGCAGCCAACAAAAATAGTAGACACGCCACATCCCGGTCCGGTCCGTAAGACGCTGTGCGATGTTCCGTGTGGTTCGGAAGCGGGGCTCATCTGCTGCAGCGAACTAAATTGTTAACTCACAGCCTTTTAAAACATTCCAACTTTTGCCGCTAGAGAGTAGGGTGGCCGTCAAACAAAGGATTATCGGATATATAACCTACATTAAAATTACAAACATGGCACTGACAGATTTTTGAATAGTAACTATTGCGACATACTGTGTATACTAGTGAGACATACTTAATTTATTGAAAACAAAGACATGATCGCGTCAGCGCGCACACCACAGAGCTAAGCTTCGGCATGAATGGGTAGGCTCAACCGGAGTGATACCACAGCCTCACAGAAAACCGGCGTGAAACAACCACACAGTTGTGTTTCGCCGTGGAGTTAGGTTACCAGAAGCCCAATCCCTCAATATCTGAAACCCTTATCCCTTACAGGCCGGCAACGCACTCGTAATTGGTGTTGCATTAGGCAACCCGCTGCACGTTTGCCGTACTATGACAAAAAAAACTGGTTAAGGTTTTCTCAGTTCATTCTCGAGGGTAAGTCGTTGCTTTCGACAAATTATACAGATTTAAGAATGAATGCAAATGCAACTAATCAGTATGATCCACATGTCTTCTAGATCATATTTAGCGTTATTAAGTTTTTTTGTTTCTTAGTTGAGTATATTGATCATAGATGCGCGATGTATATGTGTACGATTTGAGCCTTGAAAGGATAACTTATGAAAACTGTGCGTTACAAATAATGTGTAATCCACACTTACTTAAGAATAATTGTACGTAATTACAATTTAACAATACGTATTATCTACACAGAATTCAAAACATTGCGTATTACTTTAATTATTCTACTTAGACAAATAGAAATCGATTTATTTATAGAATCCTATAATATGTTCGTAAAAACAGTACCTGCATACGTACTTTTTACTTTTTCAAAAGAACAAGGTTTCTATGACTTGTTGAATAGAAAATAAATAAATTATTATAAAACAATAATTTTGTGAAGGCCGTCATTCTGCAACACAAGGTACGTGCATTTAAATTATGCACTGTTCATTGAATATAATTCTTATTTACTTTATTGTTTCAAAACAGCTGTTATTTCATTAAAAATAAATGAAACAACAGCTGTTATTGTATATAAGTAATTATTTCAACAAAATACGTAAGTACTGTATTTTATAGTTTTAATTTATAAATTCTATCGAGTAGAAAATTACTGAGTATTATCGACAGTAATTTTCATCACTTTGCTACATGCAAATATCGTGGAATTATATTATAATGCTTCTTTTAATTCAATCCTAGGCAGTAATTTAAATTCTTTATTGCTTTTATGTCATTTATTAATCGGCATTTAATATAATCTTTTTTTCCACGTTAATATGGACTTGTTATCTGCATATATAACATTACTTTGTACTGACTTGATATTTTCATATTTTTAAAGCCAAGTCAGAAAAAAACCAGCTTGACTTCAATTATAGAAGCTAATTTTAACAAAGATATAGATAAAAATGCAACGTAATAAAAACAGCACACATTAAAAAAAGAAGAATTCAAATCCACGTATGTTTCTATTAATGACACAAATTTTCTGAAAAACTCATAGTCACCGTAGCTTCAAACTTGTAACAAAGTACAGTAACTGAAGAAGGAACTATGTAACTAATTAATATGGAATGCGGTCTGCAGCGAATTCTTTGTTCATTCACTTGTGTAACCTGCAAATAACATATACCGCTACTTACCAATTTAAATTATAACGACTAATGTGGTGTTAAAACGCGAAGTTTAATCAACAAACTTGATTATAACATGTGAATACATTTAAAAAAGTTAGAATATGTATTAATCTCTAGGTTACTGCTCTAGATTCCTAGTAAATCTTAAAGTTGTTTTTTACTTAGCAACTTCTCCTGTTCAATGTGTGTGTGATGGAAAATTCTCAGAAGCTTTCACTGAATCAAAATTACGCCAAAATAATAATACGGAGCAAAGCAAACTCAACAATACTTGTAACAAAATCATCAAATACATTGAAAAGGCTACATAATCTATTCGTTTTCCTTAGGGTACTCTACTTACTTACAAACTTGTATAGTAATCGTTTTATTCACAATCTTAACACTCGGCGAAGTGGGCACAATAAGCGGTGCCCTTTTCAAGCCCTAAAAGAATATGTTCCAACGCTATTATGTATGAATAAAGTGTTGGAAACTGGGGCCAGGGCTGAATAGACATCAGTTGTATAGACATTTTATGTGTTAATATTCTATGCCTTCTAAAAGGTTAGGCACGTATATATTCTTCCTTACTTGGTACATATAATATTTTGAGGAATGTATATTGAATTATCAGTAAAACTGTTTTGTGAGTTGTGATTGTTGAACAAAAAAGTTCCTACATAATTATTATTTAATGGGAACGTTCAGATTTGACATCTATGTTAGTTATTTAGTTATATTACATTCCCCATTTACGACTTACTACAATTCTTTGAAGCTATAAATTGTTAAATAGTTAGGTACATAGCTGGTACTCAAGGACCCTAGCGAAATCCCCAGACAGGGATACCGCCTCGGGACGTGTTTTGAGCGCTTTAAAACTTATTCAACCTTCTTTTTGAATTCCTGCTAACGTATTCTGCTTCCAGCTATGCAAGGCCGTTGGCTGCATTTTATAAGATTTCAATTTGTTAGACAGTAATAATAGAAATTTAATACGATAGAAATATTTTGTTCATTTTACTTGGCCTTGAATCCAAACACAAAGCTTCTGAGTGTCTTGTTTGCCACAAGTCAATGAAGACAAAAGAGTCGACCAAAACAAGAAAGAAAAAGAAGGAGAGAAAAAACAGCATTAAATGTTATACAAAGTCGTAATAAGTATAAGTTTTAAAATAAAAGAAGTACTTTTAAAATACATTTCAAAGAGGTCCTTACGCTTCAGATCACAGAACCTGATACAGACCAACATTCTGTGATACGGCACGCACTGCTGAGAGGTTTCCCTCCAGGTTTCTTCGTAAGCACGTATTCAAACTTATCTGCCTATTTCGCGTATTTTTTGACTTTTTATCACTAAACTGCCAATATTCCATGTTAATTATTCGAGGATTGAGATTATTCTAGGTTTCAAAAGTATTTTTATAACCAACTTCCACTTAATCTCTCGAACCTTCACAGCTTTTCTGAAATAACTAAAAAGCTCTTTACAAAAACACCTTTTCTTGGAGCAATTTTCCTTTAAAAATAGCCGTCTCTGCACCGAGAGGACGCAATCATTAACTCCGAATAATGTTAAGCAGAGAGGAAAGTTGTTAAACGCCTGCACAAACACAATAGCAACAAGTTTCACCCCAGCGCTCTGTCAGCAATTGTTAACAGGCGTCCGTCTCGTGCCATTGCATAACTTAGTGCACCCCATAAACTTGTCTTATTTCACGGCCATTTGTTTTTATATCTTTCGAATTAATTGTTTGACTTAAGATTTAAAGATAACTATGTTTGTGAATTGTGTCGCAAACACTAAGAGTTACGTGCAAAATGTAAAAAAATGACATAGAAAAATGATATTTATTATAATTTTGTGTATAATGTACTAATCACGTTGAAATATATTTCTACATAGAACAATGATGTTAAAAGTATTACTGTTGGTTATGGTGCGTGTTTGCGGTATTATTGGAGACGACAGTACAATTGAGTCTACAAAGGAGTTGGATTATACTTTATTGGCGAATGAGGCTGAGAGACATAAGGGTGACATTTTGAACTTTTTGAACCAGACACATGTGAGAGAACAATACAAGGCCTTATACAACTCCTTGTTATCGAAGTTAATGGGTGAGCGCAGATTTTTATTGCTTTTACGTATGTACGCAGAACTATGATATAACATAAATATGACACGGTTAGTTAGGTAGAGATCTCTAGAAACAAATTAAAATGTTCTTTGTGTAGGTTTGTTTGCTAAGGAATTTATGACTTAAGTAGTTAGGACTAACTCATCCCCTATTGAATCGACTTAAAAAATGGTGGTTGTTCTCAATTATACTAATGCATACTTTTATATTCTTGTTGATTATCCATATTAAATGCATACATGATTTCAATAACAATTAACAAAGTTATAACAACGTATCTACATCATCATGATCATCATCCTAATTCCGTCCACTGCTGGACATATGCCTCGCCAATTTCACACCACTGAGCTCGATGTTCAGCTCTTCTCATCCCAACACTGCCAGCCACCCTGTGGATACCGTCAGTCCAATATGACATCGACATCTAGCTTTAATTACGCTGTTATGAACATGAGAAACAAACAAAAAATTATTATTATTAACCGTGAAGTATGGACACGTCGACTTGGACTATGTTTCCATGAGTCTGTAGTCAGTTGACTGTCAGTGAATAAATATTATATAAATTTGTTTTAGACGTGACAAAACAAACAACATCGTCTCGTAGAGGTAAGGAATATACTTTTTAAATGGAATAATTACCCAATATTGTAATTAAACATTATTTGGCGTCCCGATAGTTGTGCCCTTCATTTTATGAAGAGGAGTGAGCAATCTGCAGAGCATAGAAAAATGCAGGACTCGCAAGACGATAAACTAATGACCAAAATAATCTTACAAGCTACAGTATACACTAACTGTCCATTCTGTTGACCTGAGCGTTAGATTGATTTGCGCAAAGATAGGTCCGGATAGGTTCAATTTTAGCCATTTTTCTTTACTAATACGATACGAAATATAAGTGCTATCAGGCAGGATCTTTCCGTCGCATATACTGTATTATTCTCACGTGTATGTGCGATTTTGGGTTAGATAATATCTGATAATAAAATATGTACATGTGTAGTGGGTTTTTGAGTTGAAGAAGTATCTACCTAGTATCTTGGCCGTATCTCTCCATTCGAATCTACATTTTGAAACGAACACCTAGCTATTCTGACGGGTAGATTGATGAACTATTTATTGTTTTAAAACTGCTTGCGTATGGATTAGTTGAAATTAACGTTTTCGTTGCTTCTTCAGAACGGGTCCACTTAACATATGTGGTTCTTTCCTTAAAAGACCCCTACAGAATGAACTTGCACGGTTCTCAGACATTATATTTATATATTTTTTGATTTGTCTGGACTTTGAAAGAGTCTGTCTTCTGAGTTTGCTATGGTATTTCTTCTTAGAGTAGTAAGATAGGAAATGCCAACTTCATCTATTTGTTTTATAATATACGTGTGCTGTTTCATGACCTAATTACCCGACTGCCAAAGAAGGAGGGTAATGTTTTTCGAGTGTATGTAAGTATGTATGTATGTCTTTTCCTTTGTGACCTCCTGTAGCCTAAACGGCTTGATGGATTTTGATGTATGAGGTATCGTTAGATTTGTCTTGATTACGGGAGTGTCATAGGATACATTTTATCCTAAAAGTCCCACGGGATAAAGACATAATAATATTTTTTCTAAATTTCCCTTTAAAAAAATATGTATGCGGTATCATTAGATTCATTTCAATCACGGGAGTAATTAATATAGGATACGATAGTCTTCTACATCTACAACATTTTCGTTAAATAAAAACAGCTAAAAAGTTATAAATAAAAAAATTATTATTAAAAAACAAAATACCCGACTGCACACTAAAAAAAGAGTAAAACAAGCCCCACAATACAAATTTACTGAATATAATTTATAAATGTTGATGGAAAGCATCGCAGGCGGGGACCACCTTGACCGCCACCAACGAAAATTCTGCTAAATGGTGCACAACAGAAATGACTATAAATAAGCCTCTGTTGGTCCCCGCCTGCGATGCTTTCCATCAACATTTATAAATTATATTCAGTAAATTTGTATTGTGGGGCTTGTTTTACTCTTTTTTTAGTGTGCAGTCGGGTATTTTGTTTTTTAATAATAATTTTTTTTTGCAAAAATGATTCATTGTTGACATTGACTTTGAAAATTTCCAATCATTGTAAGGCAAGAAAACTAGTAAAATGAGGACAATATTTTCCTATTTCCAACAAATGCGACCAATCTGTAACCTGTATGTGAACCTTTTCTCACTTCTTAAAGAACTACCGTCATCTATGAGTAACATGGTATTCTTGCAGTGGAGCCAGCTGACCAGTTAATGTCTGGATCCACGCGGCGCATCGTGTCTGGCCACAACACCTCCATCGCCGCGGTGCCCTGGCAGGTCTCACTGCGGGAGAAGACGTACCCTATATGCGGAGGTTCAGTCGTCACTGATATCTGGTTGCTTACTGCTGCTCATTGCCTGTTAAGGTAACTTAGTATCTTCAGAAAAGTACAGCAAGTAGAGTTATATATTCAGTTTTGGAGCTTTTCTATAACCTCTTTTCTGTCTACTTGGTACTTATCTATTTGTTAAGCAGAAACACATAAAAAACTACATAACAAATGTAATTATTATCAACGTCATAATTCAAAAAGGTCGAAAATGTATAGTAAATTATAAGATGATAAGAATAAAAAGACTTAGGTTAGGCAATGGATCGAAATTCAGTTTTTTTTCGCGACTACATTTTGTCGCGATAGATATGGCAACGTAACTATTCGACTGTAAAGCATACAAGTCGACAGTCACACTAAACTCACGAAAGGGAATAAAGGCAAAAACAATAAACAGCCAACAAAAAGCAGACAAGTACAGGAGCCCGCGAACTACGAATAAATTCGAGCGGCAGTAGCGCGCACTTTTTATGGCCCGCCCCTAGCGAATTGCGTTCCTTTCGCCAATTTCAATTTATGCCCTGCCGTGAGTACCAGCCCTGAGTTTTTCCGATGCAAAATAGCAATCGCCAGAGGGCATGGAACAAAAGCAGCCACACTTTGTTACAGAGGTAGTAGGTCTCGAGGGAGTTTACGATTGCTCTAGAGAAATTTATTGTCACCCACTTGGAAAGCGATACGTTCCTGGCAAAATGTTGGCACATGCTCACTGCTCCAATATCCATCGTATTAAGGACTGAGATGCTTTTCTTCTTGTGTCTTTTGCGTAATGGGTTTATTGTTTTACGTAATGTTATTTAATTGGTTTTTTATGTAGTTTTTCATATAGTTACCGAATCATTGTTTATATTCGAACCTGTTTGTTCTAAAGGGGCCTTTCTTAAGTATCTTTAACGTAATTAACTATCATCAGATTAATACACCGATTGATTATCAATAACGCGTTAAATATCAAACTTGTTTAACTGCACTTGTCCAAACATTAATTTTCCGCCTCATTAGGCACTCACCATAATTCCGATTATCATTCTAATTCCCATTAATTTGTTTTCATTGACAAAAACTAATGAAAAAACTTCCGACACCGATTTGCTTCGATATTTCGGTTTCGTAATACCTCATTGTCACTAATTAGAAATTAAACCGGCACGCGAATGGTTTCAATAAATATTTTATTGAAGGTCATAGTTTTTTACAACTGATGATGTTGCAACTATTTGTTCTCGTTCGATATTATTTATTACAATAAGTATTATTATAGAATTACGCTAATAAAAAAAGCTTGTTGTATTTCGTGGTCAAAAATCTGAATGGATCTATTGTTCGGTTTATTGTTTAGGTTTCTTTAGTAAGCTTGGTTAGATAAATTACTCAAGTCTTCTGTAAGACTGTGTATTGTAATTTTATTAGATCATATTCGTTTTGTGTTGCAATTTTCACTTCATGCTCCAACTGGTTTCAATACCAAACAATAGTTTTTAACCATTTTTCCATAGTCAGATAGACTTAAAACTAATTTTAAAGAAAAAAAATTAGCTGACCTATCTGTGGTATAACGTAATATTGGCCCAGTTTTCCAATCGTGTTTAAGTGTGGGAGAGCCAAGCTTCGGCACGAATGGATCGGCTCGACCAGAGTGATACCATGGCCTAACAGAAAACTGGCGTGAAACAACTACTTACAGCGTTTTGTTTCGCCGTATGAGTTATCTCTAAAAGGCCGGCAACGCACTCGTATCTCCTTTGGTGTTGCACATGATTGCATAGTATCAGCTAATCCGTCTGCTCATTTGCAGACCTAGGTACACCATGAAAGAAAATCTTTCGTCGTCCTAAAAAGTAAAATCTTTACACAGAGCTCGAGCGAGTGAACTGAGCGTGCGATTAGGCTCATCGTGGAAGACACATGGAGGGGAGATGTATGACGTCAAGGAGTGCTACGTGCACCCTCGTTACGTCAGCAAGACCAAGACTAATGATGTCGGCTTGGTGCGGCTGTACTCCCCACTGCGTTTCTCATCCAGAGTACTCCCGATAAGACTGGTAGCAAGAGAAGCCAGGCTGCCAGCTAATGAACCTGCCATTGTCAGCGGTTGGGGTAAACTAAAGGTAATGTCACGAAAATTTTAAAGTTATCGGAATAAAATATCTACTGTAACAAATGTTACTAACAGGACCAGCAAACAGTTCCGCTTATAATCGCACATATTTTGAATTTGGCTGGGCAACTGGCTGCCACTAAAAGTGTCGTGGGATCGATTCCCGCACGGAACAACTCTCTGCGTGATCCATAAATTGTTGTGCCGCGTCTGGATGAAATAGATGTGTGAAATTGTTTGTTTGTAAACGCACCGGAGATACTGGAGAAAATCCTAATGTGGAGCAATCCAAATCCTTCGTGACGTGTTTTTATGACTAGAAGGAATATTTTATTTTATTTTTTGTAGGAAGGTGGTCCGAGTGCAACCTACCTACAGTCCTCCACAATCAAGACTATAGCCATGAAGCTGTGTCGTCGTTCGGGCCTCGACAGGAAGGCCATTGACCCCGCCTCCATGTTCTGCGCGGGCTCCTTCAGCCAAGCATCACCTGACGCCTGCCAGGTAAGAGGTTTAGGAAGACATTGTTGAATTGTTATTTCTTATTGTCTGTGTTAAGCAAAGCAGTGAACAGTAGACGCCATTTTTTACTTAAGAATCTCTCAGTTGAAAATGACGAAAAAAATGTTTAGGTTATAATTCTAAAGGATTACGTATTTCATATGTCATAGTAGAACCAAAAAGACTTCCACACAGACTCAGGACTACAAATTGTGATCCGGATAAAGTCACTGCAACAACCCTTCAGAAACTTTATGTCGGCGAACGAGCAGACGGATTACCTGATGGTAAGCAATGAGCGCCGCCCATGGCCACCCGCAACAATAGAGGAGTTACGAGTTCGTTGCCGACCTTTAAGGTATATTTGGAGATTTGGGGAGGGAAAGGATTGGGCCTCCGGTAACCGCAATCACACGGCGAAACAACGCTGTGGTTGTTTCACGCCGGTTTTCTTTGAGGCCGTGATATTTCTTTGGTCGAGCCGACCCATTCGTAGCGAAGCATGGCTGTCCCACACTTATTGAATTACATCCACACTGGAGCTACAATATTATACAATAATCTTCAAAATTGTCATCATACAGGGTGATAGTGGGGGCCCCATAGTGTATGAGGGTGTTCTCATCGGTGTGGTGTCCTGGGGACTCGGCTGTGCACGTGGAAACTTTCCAGGAGTTTACAGCCGTCTGTCCTACCCGCTCATTTACGACTGGATCCATGACCACATCACGAAGAAGTTGGAAAATAACACCGCTTTGTAAACTTAACATAAATAAAGTTTTTCAAGTATTACAAGAGTATTTGTTTAACTCATACTGACCAAGTCTTATAAAAAATGCTAAATTAACGACTAAAAGTGTCCTAAATTCATCAAAACCCAAGCAAACGCCGGCATTCTCCATCTTTATCTTTATCTCGAATTACCACGATTGAAAGGTTAAGTTTTTAAAAGTCGTTTTCATCATTTGTTACTCACATCTGAAAAATAGATGGCAGCACGCGTAACATGCGTGTGTTACTTTAGACTCTTTCGTCATCTGTGAATGAAGAATTGTTTGTAATGAGCATCTTCCTTGCAAATAGAAAATAAAAAGCCTAGTAATAGATAGTTAATGTAAGAACACAAACTAATTGAGCGTAAACTCACACGGGACATGTTTGTAGAAATTAGATAGTTGAGCTATTTTATATCTACATCGCCGACGGATATAACACCTATTTTACAATATCTGGATAACCGTTACTTTTGTACTAGACAAATTTGAATATAGAACGTTATTTTTATAAACTATTATAATATTAAAACACAAGTTTAGTAGAAACTTAATACCCATGGTTAAACAGGCCGTAAATGTACTAAGATATCAAAAACATTACTATGATCATAATGTATCAATACCAACATGCGTCTACAGTGAATAAGAAGCTTCAATTTCAGCGCATAAAACACGATTTTATTGTAAAACTGTTTAATAAAAAAGTATATAAAACATGACATCAGTCCCCAATAGTTGACAATAATTTGTATACAAGTAATAAGCCTAATGAACAATATCGGCTCTAGTCATTCATAAACCGATCACTTTGAAATATGATTTCATAGTACTACTAAGAAATAAACGTAGTCAAAACTTGGATAAATACCAAAAATAAACGTCAATGTTCCAATACACGGCTCAATAGCAGCTACAAAATTACAAAACTACATATTTTCTAATACGAAAAACTAACTGGCTTGGAGCCAAAATAACGGTAGCACTAAGTACCAGGGATAACGTAAGTTCTCCTGGATTCTAAATACATGTATCTATCACAGTGTTGCTAAGTCTAAAAATATACTCTGTGAGTATTTGGAATACGGTTGATTTTGTTTCAGACGCCAGTGTTGTCTGTGATCCAATTTCTGAGGGAAGCGATGTTGGTGAAGACGGTCGGTGACAGCGGTAATGCACATCCTCTCGCGAACGATACGACGCCAAATGCTGTGTCCCGGAACACGGCTGGTCCTCCGGAGTCACCCTGCAACAATACACATTGCAGATACAGAGATGGAACACTAAAATGTTGTTCACCACACACTTATAATACTTCAATTCACCATAGAAAAAAGATGAATGAGCAAAAAAGTTTCAATTTAAATGACGACAAATCTGTGAACATTATTTTATTGTTATAAAGCTAATATGGTCTATATTACCAAACGATATATGGTCTATATTAGCTTTAACAATAAAATAATGTTTGTAATTTATTTTGAAACTTTTTTGCTACTTCATCTTTTTCTATATTAAAACAATAACATACAAGACTATTTTTAAAAGTGTCATAGTAGGTACATTTACACTTTAAAATTTTAGTCTACTTCTTCATTTCGTTTACATATACGTACTCCCGTTACAGTTGTTTACCTTCGGAACTTTAAATTAAAATCGCATATGAAATCTTATCAATGATGTAATTTAAAACTTTATTACCTAGTACAAAACGTTCATAACTCCACAACTCACCTGACAAGATGACACTCCTCCTATTAGGAAATGTCCTCCGCAGAACATGTTGTTGGTCAGGGACTGTCCATACGACAGGCGACAGAGCCAGTGTGGCACCACTGGCACGTTGGCTTCCATCATGATGCGCGGGATACGACGCCCCCCAACCTATGAAACAAATAGGTTATAGGCCAAGAGTCTGACATAATGTAGACATAATTTGTCTGATAGCCAGACACAATACATAATTTTTTCTAATAGATGAAACATTTCGAGAGCTAAAGAAAGAAAAAGCCACTTGACGATCCCCCTTTCTCTCGAAAAAGTATTGTTAGATAAAAAAACACAAGATGCTTTCCGCGGTCCCCGACACTAAATATGAACTTTTTCTAAAAAAAATATAAAAATGTATCCATTTTTAAGAGAATAACATCTATCAACCTTTTTGAATCGAGATCTTATTTTTTTTTATTTGGTAGATCGGCAAACGAGTTACTAATGCATTGTCGGCCTTTTGAGGAAAGGTATGTGGGAGGGGAAGGATAAGAACTCCGGTAACCTCACTCACTGGATTGAAATAAGCATTATTGAGCATGACGCTTATTTATTCCAACGCTGCGGGAAATCGTCTGCTATATGTAACAAGAACACTTACAGCAGTAAGTCCCCATCCAGTAACAGTTAACCTAACAAGTGGTACAGGCTGTCGTGGCTGCGGCAGCCTGATTGCTCTTATATTGGCATTGAAGCTTAAGGGCCTGGCCAGCCTTAGTGCAGCGATGTCATTGTCGAACTGTGGTCTTCCATATTGAGGGTGTACTGTAACGTTTGCCACTCTGACAATCCTGCCCCCCGAGTCACGACGAGTACTCCCAACACGAAGCCGGATGGCGGTTGGTGATGTGCTGCAAAATGTAAACATTGTTATTGATTGGATGGTGAAGCCGAGAAATGGTAACGACTTCTTCGTGCTTTTTATTTCTCAAACGATGAAGCGGAGGCTATCGTGATATGTGGCCCAGTGAGATAATGGGGGAAGAGGGGGCTATTGAAGTCTGCTTTTTATTCCTTAATTTAAAAGAACTAAAAAACTTATCCGAACTTGAGAATCGGACCCAAGACGTGTGAGAAGACATGCTAGGCAGTAGCTTACAAAAACTCTTATTTCATCAACGAGACAGTTAAATTTCTAATTAAGTTAATAAACATTTTTATTGTTACTGCAATTTAGTTTGAAATATAATAATAAACAAAAAATAAACACTACTAACGAAAACTTAATCAACGAATTTGTGAAATGATCAATTTTATTGATTGCAATTTTTAGGTAATTTCTTCACAATCAACTAAGCGCTAGGTTTTACAAATCCTATTGCAGCAAAAACAGTTTGTTATTTGAAGAAAGGTTAAATAGGATGAACATTTTTAAATGTTCCAGAGTCCACATTTACATTAGTTAAATTTACCTACACTACGCTATGAACCGTAAACGTGTTAAAACACGAATTCAGAATCGCTCTGAATGACTTTACCTACAAACTACTTGGAATCTGATCTGATTGCTCCACAAGACTCGTTGAACCATGCTCTCCATCAAACCAAAAATGTACACTTCAGCTGTACGAATATCCATCGGACGAGCAGTATGAGCACTGCATCGTAAACTCGTGAAAACCCACTCAACCAAAACATTCGCCGTAGAGAGCGAAGGGCACTTCAACTGACGTAACAGTGTACTTCATAAAATATTCACGCAGAGAAAAACCAGCTGCTGAGCCCCGCAGTAACGACCGCGATTATACACTAACATTGTTTGCTCTGTGCCATTGTTATTGCGTATAGAAACAGTCTAATATTACCCTAACTAAAACCTTCACAAATATAATAAAAGCTCATAAACAAAGACGAATAACTCATCAGCAATAATGAACCTTAAAACAATGCTCATAATATGGACAGTGCAGATTAATGCTTAGGATTTCCCTGGCACGCTCCGCACTATGGAAATGAAATGTCCGTCGTTCGTCTAAATATTTCTCTGGAATAAATAATTTTCCACGCTCTGTGTAGGTATTCGAGTAAGCCCTCGAAGTGATAAGCAACAATGTTAAAGCAGACCGTAAACCCTAAGTCCCGCTCCTCTGGTCACAGTTTTATTATTACCAAAGTCGTAAAGTTAAGAAACGTTACGAGCCCGGCCTTGACACCGGAGATCCCGAAACGTTACACTCTCCTCACAATATCTTCGAATTTACTGCGCCTAGTAAAAAGTATAACTATTTTTATGATTACTGATAAAATGGAACGTCAACAAAGCCCCATTTATGGTCGCATTAACTCACTTTGATTTTTCCTGCCGGATAATTTTATTACTATAGCTGGTTACAACGAGGCTTACGGGCTCTTAGTTGGTTCATGGGCCTCTAATTATCGTTAGAAATACGGACAAGGTTTTATTTGCTTATTTATTATTTTAACCTACATTGTAATGCACACAAACATTATGTGTATGGTATAGTAATCACAACCAACTGATGAATATGATGTTCTACCATTATGCCAGAACCAAGCAAACTGCCTCATATAATTTTCGAACCTAAAATTGCCAGCAATAAAACATAGTCACTTATATTCACAAGGTATCCAAAGCCAAAAAAGGAATATAAGTTATAAACTCACTTTTGCACACAATGAGCAGCAGTCAGCACGTAGTCCTGGCTGATGATGAAACCGCCGCAGAAGGAGTTTCCATTCAGCACCATGGACACTTGGTAAGGGTGTCGCTGCACTGACGTTGGCCTTCCTCCTATGATCTGGCCACTCAGCTCAGGACATGCTTCCTCTAATTCCACATCCAACTCCTGTTCACTTTCCTCTGTATTCTGTGCATCATCTACAACGGCGTCCGCGCAGCATTCTGTGTCAACTGCCTCTTGAAAATCTGTGAATCATGTAATCTATTATTTTCTTATAACAATTTCCAATTAGATAGCTTCATTCGGCTTCGAATTAGACATTGGAAAGTTAGAGCAGTTATTTATATAGGTATATAGAGCAGGAGAAGGAACAGGGGTGTTTTTACTCAGTAAGAATCTGACACTCCCTCCCGCCCGGCCCTGGGCGGGAGAAGTCACTTGATGATAAAAAAGTAAGTTAAAAGGTGAGTAGCTAAAAACAGTAAGTTAGAAGGTATTGGTACTTCACCGTCACTATACTGTATCATAAAAATCCATCAAATTACATAGTACTTAAAAAAAACACACTGTAAATACTAAATACCAAAATAGCAAACATCAGTTCAAACACAGAGTGACAATTCAAGTTGTTAGAAGAAAAATCATATGTGATAATTACAACACAGTAGAACAAGACAGCAAGTACGTCACAACAACTCACCCGCGACGGAGACAAGGGCAAGAACTAACAGCAGAGCGGTCACAGCAACCATTTTGGCTGGCAAACTCCACCTGCCTCAAGCACAGATCTAGCCAAACTGTTCCAATTCAAATTATTGCCAAATGTCTGCCGCAGGTAATTTCACACGGTTCGAGTCCACGGTCGCGACCTTTTCACCGTCTTCCAATAATTCACCGAGTCAACTCAAGTCAAGGCGCTTGGAGCTATGAAAAAGCATTCAGTAGACGCTGTAACTTCATATAATATGCGTAACGTCGCGTCGGTACCTACAGTCCTTAATCAAGGCCGATGGCTGGCAGATAGTGTTTTTTTTTGTAGTTAAATAAAGGAGGTCATTAAAACAGAAAATGTATTTCATATTGCACATATGTCTGTGGCTCTTCGGCTTAATGTGTATATACGAAAACTGTACCTAAATGAAAAAATAACTTCAAAAAAATAGAAGGCTTTTCAGACTATACTTATTTTTTTCGTTTTTTTAGCTTTTATAAACATCATTTTGTAATAATGATTTCTCAAGAGAATCGTGTCGACCAAATCTCATAAAATATGACTTGTAACAAAACAAATGTTATAAACGAATTTTAGCCGTGTTTCCATGAAACACTCGTAGCAGACAAGATGATTGATAAGTCTGTTATGAAGAACATATTTTGATTTACGGTGACAGGCCCGCCAACTATTACAATACGATTAATAATGTAACTAGCATGGTGTATTTTACATACTATTTTCTATCACATCGTATTATATTTTTCAACTGTTGAATACATCAGCTAAGATCTTTTTCGTAAATCAAAGACTTGTAAAATTATTGACGTGATTTAAGTGTGGGAGAGCAATGCTTCGGCACGAAGGGGTCGGCTCGACCAGAGTGATACCACGGCCTCACAGAAAACCGAGCTGAGGTTACCGGAGGCCCAATCCTTCCCTCCCCCAATCCCTTAATATCCAAAACCCTAAACCCTAAAAGGTCGGCAACGCACTCTTAACTCCTCCGTTGCGAGTGTCCATGGGCGGCGCTGATTGCTTACCATCAGGTAATCCGTCTTCTCGTTTGCCAACCTATTAAATAAAAAAAAAATGACGTTTGAGTAAGAACCATGTTGTACTCCTACAGCAACCATTAAAATATTGGAAGCTGTCGGCTCCTCGCACGATTCGTTTATTTTTGAAACACTAGCTTTTGCACACGACTTCGTTTGGATGCTTCATAAATTGACGTGTGTGTTGACAAAATCTTTTCGGACCCGTTCGTTCGCGTCGGAATACTCGATGTTTTCTACGTTTTTCAATGAAGGTAAAAAGTTACAGGTGCATATAAGAGTACTTGCACATATTTTTCACTACTAATTTGGTTTAGTTGATGTTCGATTTCACTGTTTTTCTATGTTTGACTGTACTTTAATTCAAGTAATATACCATAGAAATACGAACATGCTTCCTAGAACCTAGGTAGATAGGTATCATTGTCATAAAACATGTCTTAGTTTTGGTGCTAAAAAAAAATATGTTGGCAACTAAGATATTGTACAGTTATGAAATAAAATATAACAGTTTTAGTCGAATTTTATCGAAGTATTTTTTTAATTTCGGTGATTAGTCTTTAAGCATCTCTTTGGACCTGAAGGTTAAATAATCAGCTAATCATGCATGAGGGTGGGGGTTCGAATGGTTGGGCCTTCATCAACTTTAATTAATTATGTTAAAATAAATGTGAAATACATAAAAGAAATAAAAAGGCTTTTTATATTCATTTTAAAATAATCAGTTCCTTAAAGATGATGTTTTTTCATAATTTATTTACACTTAATTTTCTTTTTCTGTTGTATCATATTTCATTCATTTGCAATACCCGGATTTCTGCACAGTAGATATAGCAGACGCCATCCCCATACATAGTTAGTAGGTAGCTATGAAATGAACAAGTGAATATCGATTGCAATAATTGCACTGCGAACAGCAGGTTACTGTGTCTAATTAGGCTTCAGTACTAAACAGCGCTATCGTATTGATTATCTATTTTGATTTCCTAATTTGCTGTGCTTAATTGTAACCAATTTGTTGCTATTTTTGAGACTTTAGGAGTTAGAACAAAAAACGGATGTGGTATTATCAAAAACACAGTACCCTTGAAACCCAAAACCACAGAGAATGTAGAAATACGTAGCCTTTTGGAGATTTGGTTTCAGAGATTTTGGGAATGGGGATTGGGGATTGGGGAGAGATGTGGTAAGAGTAGTAATGGGCATAAGGTAACCTCGTTCACACGGAGAAACAACGCTGTTGATGTTTCACGTCGGTTTTCGGTATTACTCCGGTCGAACCATAAACCATTCGTGCTGTAATTGTTGTTGATTAGGTTACACTTAAATTCAAGGGTGAAGTCATAAAAACTGAGAATATAATAATAAAAAGATAAAATCAAATTTCTATATTGGTTGTGATATAGAATAATTTTATTAAGAACTCAACAATACGATAATTAATAGGATAATCGAACTTGAGATCCCTTGCTGCAAATCATATATATAATCAACGGGGCAGTAATATTTCTAAGCGTGTTAAAAGCGCCAAAATTATTGTAATCGTCGGCAGACCAACAGACTCACTAACACACATTCCTATTTGTACTAATTATAGCCGTCAGCATCCGGCGACGTCTAAAAATAATTATAAATATAACGCTTGCAACACTGAGCTTTATGAAACTTTTTTTAAATATCTTGCAGCGAACGTGCGAACTGATGGATTCAGTTTCGATTACACAGTGGCTCTATTTAGTATTGATTTATGCCATACAACAGATACAATTTCAATTTTTACGGTAATAATTCGAATTTTGAAATCAATGAAAGTATTTTTGCAGCAAAAGTATTGAACATTTTTGCGCAAATCTATCTATCTAGAAAAGTTGGGGATTTTTTTATTTAGGCTTTAGTTTTGTTAAGAAACTTAATACGCAATGCATATCATAGCTAAAAATATATTATTCTGCAATGAAAAACTGAAAATTATTAGTAACCGAATCGTTTGACTTTTTTTTTCATTGCAATTTAACGGCATTTAAAATTCTCCTTGACATTTAACATTACCATGACGTGCACTGAATAAAACTGTGCTAAATAATCAGAAAACAGGTGAAATTTGATATGAATGTTAATAATAAAAACCTACTCGTATACCGTATAAACATTCCTAAAAGTACAACTTAGGTCTCGACTGTAAACTGTTTTAAAATAAGACAAAATAATTAGTCGTAACATCCGTCAGTGTCACTCGTCGCTACACTACAATCGATTTAAATAAAATATTAACCGATTGATTCATTGAGAAAATCGATGGCAATCAGTACAATGGCTATAGCTGAGCTGGTGACGCGTTGGCCTTCCACAGTTCGCCATTCATCACTGGACAAGCTATGAGAAATAGCGAATTTATGCTTAAATATTTGTAAGTTCTACATACTATATCAGACTCTTACTGGCTAAAAAACCTTGTCGCATCTCCTGCTTCAGGCTGTGGTACATTATAACGCTTGACCCACAACCCTAGAGAGAAAAAGCCTCCATTTAAACAAGTTAACAAGTTGACGGATCAATTGGTCTTAAGTAAATAACAACCCACTAAATCAGAAGGATCTCAAGTTAATTATTATTATTATTAGCATTAAACACTAATAGCCCATTTTGAGAGGGGAACATCATCCAATAATTCATGACTTCTCGCCCTGAGTGGGGATCCAAGGCGAGAGAAGTCATGAGCCAAGAGATGTGTAGAGCACGCTGAAGGATACCTACACACCGAAGGTCCCAAAATCTTCTTCTGATTAATAAGGATGTGTGCGAATTTAAGTATTATTTGAAACCCTGGCGATAATTTTAAATTAATTCCCAACCACAGAGATCGGACTACAGATTTTTGTACGCAGCAAAAGTCTAATTTCAATCTGTTAAAATGGCATAGAAACAATGATTTCAAGTATTTAATTACAACAATAGAATACAAATGACTCAGTCACTCTCAACTTGTAAATGAAATCCGGACTGATTTAGCGCTAACCTCATTAATGATTCGTGAAGGGAATGCGATCGTCCAACCGACCATTTGAAACAGTTCGACATTGTCAAGATTCCAATACTTACGTCGACGAATGTTTACCCATCGTATTTTGGAATCTCGCCATTGGGCAGATACGTTTACCTATTAACAATTACTGTAACTTCCTTTTGTTTTATATTATTCAAATTAAAACAAGTAACAATTAGTTAAATACTGACATTTTTAGTAATTATTTAAAAGGCCGGCAACGCACCTGTGACTCCTCTGATGTTGCGGATGTCCATGGGCGGCGCCGATCGCTTACCATCAGGTGATCCGTCTGCTCGTTTGCCACCTATTCCATAAAAAAAAGAAATACAATGATCTAAATTCAAAATTGTAAGAAAAATGTGCTGCTGCATACGATGTGAGTACCTAATGATCATCATCACATATTTAGGTAAAAGTAAATAAATCAAAATAGTTCCTATAATAAGCGTAAATATTGATTAATGATACTTATTTTGTTTTATTTTAGAGTAAAATTTTAATAATGTTAATTTAGATTTTTTATTTTTTGTGCAATTTATTAATATAATTTATTATTTTTAAGTTATTTAACTTCAATTTTATTATGATTTTAATTCAACTAGGCTTTTATTTTATTTCTGCGTATGATCTTATTGCTTTATTACCACTAGGCAATTCGCCTGCTCATTTGTCGATGTATGACAAAAAATTAACATAGGAACAGCTTTCAGCAGTGTAGAAACTGGTCAGTCAACACGGCATTACAGTCGTTACAGTATGTACGCAACAAAATATCTATTTTCGTTTTCAGTAAACAAAAGCATATTTCTTACGCCACCGAAGTAACCATTCAGTTATCACGTGATGTTTAACATTGCGATTAACTCGAAATGACCTCATTCTGACCTCACAATGACCTATCATTTCTTGTTATGTCACAATCGTTCTTAATTTACTATA